CACAAGCTAATTTACCATGTTGAGAGGAAGGAGAATCTGCCTGCAGTTAGCTTTGTGCTGGCAGGACTGCTTCTGGGATTCCAAGTCTGGATATCTCTATGCTACACAGCAAGCAGCAGTGTAGTAATAGCCTTAGATAGTATGATGATGAAGAAGACCAAAGTACCAACATGGGAAGGCACATCATTCCATTTGTGCCTGCCTCAGTCATATGACAGATGATACGGTGCCTGGCTCCCAATCAAAGATCAAGTATAAATATATGAACGAGGAATTTCCTGCAATGGAAGTTTGGCTAAGGGTCAAGCACTGACACTAGCATTCTGCCTTGCTGGGGATAATGCAAGTATAAATGCTTCCTCACTGTGGCGAATCCCAACTCAGATTAGGAGGCAAGAGGACAAATTCATTGCAACCTAAATGAAGCTGATTGTCTTTTTTATCTAATGGCATAGAAAGGCTTAGCAAAGTGCCTTTAATCTGGAGCTTCCACTTGCTTAACTTTATTAAAAAATAAATAACAACACCAGGGACATAACTGTATTGACAAGGTACAGTATGACTGTGTCATTGAAAAAAAAAGTTACATTTCAAGAGAAAATGTTATCAGTACAAACCTAAGCATACAAATATTTGCAATATTTGTTCATACGTAAGCACAATTTAAGGCCACTTTTCAAATAAATGTAACAGGGAGGGCAAACACAAGTACCTGGAATCTTTCCTCAGCAGAGTATTTTGAGGCTGATTCTCTGGAAAAGTCTCTTTTCATGAGTCCAGTCATGCCCTTCTGTCATTCAACCTAACCAGGCACAGAAAGGCACTGCTCATTTAGATGCTCATGGAGGGAGAAAACATGACCATGATTAACAAAGCTCCTGTCTCAGTCATTCTTGGTGGGATCCCTTCCTGGCCTCTTCACGATCCAACAAGTGGTTGCAAGGCCAGCACTTGGCTATGGGTAAAAGCCAAAAGTCATGCCTTGCTGTCTTTCCTTCTTCCTTTTGATATTCTGGGTGGGCACAGAAGTTTTGACCCACAAAGGAGATCAGTGGTCCACATTTTCTTCACTTTCTGTCAGAGGAGGACAGCAATTCCAGCTGCAGTGTAAAGGAAGGTAACAGTTTATTCGGCTACAGTTTTAAAAAATGGCAGGAGGCAGGGTAGATTTGCACCTTAGAGACTAGCTAAATCAGAGATTAGTAAATGTTAGCAAAATCAGCACTTTGTTTCATATAGGCTTCCCAACAATGATTTGGACACTGGCTTACCTTGTCTGGATTTGAGCAAGTGCTCTTAAAAGAAGTCTCCTCATGACATTTCAACTTATATAAACCATCCAAGTCATATTAAATGGAAATCCAGATAGACACAGGCATAAATGTGAAGAATATTTGCTTCTCAACTATTTGGTCAGATTCTCAGGGCTACACATCTACACTTACCATAACACTGAAGCAGCCTTAAGTTGGACAATGCATTAACTAAGGAGAAAAACAAAGGGTTGTATAACCATATTGTAGTTATCAGTCAAACAGAGTAGAAGAATTAGATTGAAAATGAAGTTGAAAATGAAGAAGGCAGAACACTGTTCATTGTTGGATTTTTCAATTAATTTTGAACTAACATTTTCTGCACTGTTTAGCATATTAACTCAAAACAAATATGCGCCCCACCATATGTTACTTGGTACTAAAAGATGCACATATATCTAAAGACATTATGAACAAATACCCAAAAGTATGCATTTCCATAGTCACATTTAAAACATGCAAGGACTTAAACACCTGCTCCAGGAAGACCATTAATGATATAATGTATACACATGAAAGAGTTAATACATCATTTAGGGTTACAGCTTCCCTTGATATACTTAAGCACATTGGATAGAGGGCAGAGGAGCTGTGCGGTGGTTATACTGTCCAGGAAGAACCACGATTTGGTAGCTAAAGGTTCCTGGGCTGTGCAAGCTGGCACGACAGTGACACTATCCTTGCCTATAGCCACACCACAAAGCTGGATAACTCTGCCAGCTACCTGATGAAGAACTGAATTAATTCTCTCTTCCCCCTACCATTCCTGTCCCCTTTTTACAGTGATAAACTCTACAGATTGCTGACCCACAGACTGTTCAAACTATCCCAAGGACTGAAAGACCCAAGGTCGTATTTATTTAAGCAACCTGTTTTAGGTTGCATAGCAATATATGCAGACTTCTGGCTCAATCTTTCTTCCAATCAAATAGCAAAATTCCCATTAGCCACAACAGGACCAAAACTATACGCACTTGCTTTTTACACACCACAGTGTCAGTGATATAAGCTAACAGGTGTATTAGGATTCTTATGATCTGTGGTTATGTTCTTGAACATCTGCTTGTATTACTTTCTTACCTTTCCTATCTTATATTACATTTTCTAAAGAAAATGTTCCCAGCCCTTATGGCTGAAGGGAAAACCTTGAAAACCTAATCTCTAAACTCTCTAACCACTCAGGACAAAAATCTGTAAGCATTTAAATGCTTGGAGTTTCCAATACTGTAGAAATAGCAGATAGGCAGAACTCTGACGTCAGTGTCAATTCAGAGTTCCTGCACCAAAGCAGAACTAGCATCGCTGAAATTAAGAAACAAGATTTGACTCAACATTTGACTTTCCTTTACCAGTCAAAAACAGGAAGGAGGAGCAGAGGAAGGCTGCACACACAGCAATGAAATATCCCAGACCAGATCCTCATTTGGTATCTCTCTGTCTGACTACAGGTGAGCTGGTACATTTTATAACTCTTGAGGCTCCGGCCCATAGTTGAGTACATGTTATTAAAATATCCTTTAAAAGAAATTCTGATATTGAAAATCTGGTTCAGTAAATACTTTCTCTGTAATAACTTAATCTTGTGGAGTTTTTACATGTACCGAAATGTCACTAAAGCTAGACAGCGTCTGTTAGTTCCAACCTTTGTGTTTTGGACAGCCATACAAATGATTTCAGGCACATTGTAAAGCAGAGTCAGCTACCCAACCACATTCATAAATCTAGCAGTTCTATGCACTTCCAAATATTGCAGAAGGGTGCAAGATGTGCAAAAGGGTGAGATGAGCCATGATGAACATTCAAGGCCTGGAGGCAGATCCGCAGCTGGTATAAATTGTCATAGCTCCGCTGACTTCAATGAAGCTATGATAAATAGGACGTCAAATGGAGCTATGAGAAATTTACATCAACGGAGCATCTGGCCCCTGACAATGGGGAAAGACAGGGTCAGGTGCCAGATTCTCTTCAGTCCAGAACGCCGACACTTGCCCTTGAGCTGTATCCACAAAAAGGTCACAGAATATATGCCTTGTTTATGCATCAGTTTTGAAGGCCTGTGGCATGGCATATTCACCAGAACAGAAACAATGGATATAATGTGCCAAAAAATGTTAGTCACAAATAAATTTCTATGTCACTCTCATAACTTCCATGCTACTTTGTCTTCATTTGAACTACTTCAAAGTACAAAATTTACCTCTACGGTGGGATGTTACTTCCAGTGAAGTCAACAACAGTTTTACCAACAGCCTCAACAGGTGGGAAGATTAGGCTAAGACCAAGCCTTACTTTGCAATTTCAAATGTTAGTTAATTCTTTAAGAAAACAAAAAAGCGTAAGCAAACTTTCTAAATAAACCACATTGCTTCATATGTGCACAAGTTATTCAGGCATATTTACTGTCTACAGCAAGCAAAGAAGATTGAATTGCCCATGAGAGATTTGGAAATCAGTCATCTGTCAATCCAATGAGATTTTACACTACATTGTTTCACCAGACAAAAAGGGGTAACATGGCGATACACTGACTATACACCCTGTTGCTAAATCAGGTTTCCACTGGATCTGCAAATAAGAAATCAATTACACAATAACATTAACAAAACCCAAGACAAAAGGTACTTCACACACTGCTTGTGGTTAATTCATTGATTCTTCTGTATCTTACTGTTAAACACTTTATTAAATGTAGTTAATTTCTGGCCTGCATACAAATTTAGTAAAGTGCCAAAACTAAATCAAATCAGCATGTTTAAGTGAAAAAATCTACATCACCAGTGCATGTTTCAAATCAATCACATTTATTTGGAGACCTCAGAAGGACAGCTAAATCATGTAATTGTTACCATTTCCAATGGAAGAGAGGTTGTAATATTTGCTAAAGAAATTCCCTTAGTTCACTGGCTCAAAAAAAAAGGCCGAACAACTGCTGCAACAGACACCTTAACAAGAGAGTTGAATGAATGATAACAAAGCCTCGGCAAGGAAGTGCCCACTCATTTAATTTATTTGGGAGCATCTTTTCACAATAATAACCAAATTATCTAATGTTCGCTTACATTAAAAAGTGATAGCCTATAACAAATCAGTACTAGAAAAGGGAAAAAGATCAATACTTTGAATTAATACCACAGAAGAAAACAATTAGCACACATAATAAATGCCATCATGTTTGACAGCTTCCTATGAATTCAGTTCTGTTTTGTTTTGTCAGAATATATCAGTGAAACTCGCAACTGAAATCCCAGTAATTTCTATGCAGTGGCGTCTTTAAAGCTGTAACATATTTGCTTAGGCTTCTTTTCACCTTGGTATTTTCCACAGCAATATTTGTGTTTTAGAAAAACCACCATATACGATAATTTTAAAATTACTGTTTATAAGAGCCATTTTTTAATTCATGTAATAGCAGCAGTAATCATGTTTTCCTACAAAACATCCTGTTTAGTGAGGTTGTTACCATAGCCTGTAAATTGTTGCTGGACAGAATATAATATGTATCATCAACTGAGATAATATTAAGTAAAATGAGTTATAATATGCTTTATTTCCCTAGAAAGGCCCATGCAGCGCAGTGTTTTGTCTTCAGTTTTAACAGAAAAAGGAAAGTGTGATTCCAGAGAACTGTTTTCTTGAAATGATCAAATTTTCTTTAAAACACCTTGAACATATTCACAAAAACATAAAAGCAGAAAACACAGGCTTTTAATGTTTGCTAAACCTAAACCTTCCAAATCCTAATATCCTGATTTCATTGCAAATCTGCTCCAATGAAATGATACAACAAACGTCATAAAACTTGGTTTTCCATGGCTTATTTTTATGGGAAAAAAATCAGATAAAAATACACAATTAAATTCCATAAGCATAATAAAATATTTCAAAATGTCTCCTCTATTTCTTTTTATGTTTCAGCTTTAAAAACAGTTTCTGACCTTTCTTAAAGTTATATTCACACATGGGGTGTTGGTTTACTTTCAGAAAGCCAGGGACTCTACTACAACAATAAAGTACCAACTGAAATATCATTCATGATATCTGCATCACTTGAATAAACTTTTTTGAACAGGATTTAAAGTTATGAAATTTGCATTGTCGCCTCCTCCTTCTACATTTATACTTTTGTTGGCTGACAGAAATAAAAAGTGTAGTGTCATGCTTGGTTTACCTAAATCATTTATTTTAGAACTAATAAAAGTAAACAATTACCAGATATTGTATATATAGAGATATAGATATAGATATATGGCCACCATCAAACTATAGTAGAAAGTTATTTGGTTTTGATAAAGTTAAGAAAAGTACATAAAATCATATTTCATGTATATCTTGTTTATGGCCATCCATATTTTTGTTCTTTTTTGTTTTAGTTTGTTTCATCAACATAGCAAAATACAATCTTCCTATTAAACAATAATTATCAGATGGCAGACAATTCGTTTTATTGGTTTACACTGGCAGGTCACAGTCTAAAAGCACAACCACATCAGGCAGAAATTGTACATAGACCACTCTGGATTTTGAAGACTCTGAAGATTACCCTTAATGCTGCTCTCTGAAATAAACCTTTCCAAGCCAGGGACCGTAATTTATATTGTATTCATTATTATTTTTAGCTTAACGAAATGCCTGAAGAGGAGGCAGGGAGGAGGCAGTGGGGTTTTAGAGGAGGTAGGTAGGGAGGAGGCTATTTGAATTGTCGGTTTTAAAATCTGTTGTTGGTATGCTTAAAAGCACCTTGAAGGATAACTTTCTAGCAATGACTCTACAAAAGTTTAATCACCCATATAGTGTCAACCAGGTGATTTTCATTTCATGGAGTACTGCACATTTATTTCGATTAGGCCTGTTCCATGCCTTTTTCAAACTTTTTTTTTTTTTTTTTTTTCCTTTTTTATTTTTTTTACTTCTGGCTGAAAAAACTATGGCAAGTTTGGAGTAATGAGAAATCATCTAGCACTAAGACATCATACATTCACAATGTCAAGGTTTTTATAAGGAATTGTTTTAGCTGGGACTGGTTTGTACATATGCAGTTCTATTATATGTAGAAGGCATGTTCATGTCTTCAAAAACCAGACTGGCCTTAAGAAATGACTCTTTATTTGAGACAGTTACCATTACTTCATTAAAAAATGACAAAACAGCAATAAACATTTTAGCTCTTTAATGAGCAAAGATCAGGTCTCTTAGCATTGGAATAATATTTGTTATCCAGATTATCTTTATTTCACTCAATGACCAGTAATATGGCCAAGAAGTACAAAGTAATTTTCCATCAAGTAGTATACAATTTTTTTGTGTGTAATAAGCCTTCATTCTTGAAAAAGAGTAACTGAAAAGAAATGTTACTGCAGTTAGTTTGTCAGAGAAAGTTCTTTGCATTATCTTACAAACTATCAAAATTGCTAGTAATTTGAAAAAATGTAAAAAAAAAAAATCACATAACTTCTGTCTAATAGAAATATAGTACAGGTAAGAGAGAAAGTATTTATCTGGGATGTGCTCTTAAGTCCATCTCAATTTTTTTTTTATATAAATGTACATCTGATTACATATACAAACATTTTGAAAGGATTGATTATACCATTACTGGAAAGCAAAAGGGGAATGAAAAGTTTTTTGTGATTTCAGGACATTCATTTAAAAATCGCACAAATATATGTAAGATTCTGGTTTAAAAATTTCCAGTTTTTGGAGGTCTCCAACTTTATGTACCCTCTGCATCTACATTTACACCCTAGAGAGATCTTGTCCAATTAATTCACTTGAATGGCAAAGATAATGTGTACCAAAAAAGGGAAATAACTTCATATTAAAATATTATCAGGACACTTTGTCACATGCAACATGAGTTAAACCAATGACTGAGAGCTGTAATCAGAGTGGTAGTACTGGGGCTTCTTAATATTGCAAAATAACATTTCAGTTAAATCTTTGGACACACTTTACCTTACCAATATGAACTAAATATATTGTAACTTAACCACAGTAAATTATAAAGCCTTCATCAAAGAGGTTCCATTCAGATTACATTTTATAGTATTATTTAGGTGGAAATGAAACAGAACATTAACAACACAGAGATTTTTTTCCTGGGATTCATATCAGCGAGTGTTCACCACTATATACCTACAGGACCATCAAATACCTTTAAGAAGTACCACAATTCCTTCTATTACTGAAGCTACTGTGAAATATTTTACTGTAATTACTTTTGCCCCTTTAAGAAAATCTTCTTTTGGTTTGCCAATTGATGGAGGAAGCTTCTATTAAAAACTCCAATGGGATGAGAAGAATTTTAATTACGGCTTAATCAGCAGCACAGCCACCAAGCATATAAATTATCATGCACATCGTGCTAAAAATATCCAGTTTCCCTTATTCCCACAACTTTTATACTGACAGCACTTATGTGATAATGTTTTACCTGCCAGGCTTTAAAACTTCTTTGTTTGACTGGCAGATTTTAGCATGAGCCCCTTACTAAGGCCTTAACAGCATTGGTGCTTTGTGTACTTATCCAAATATGTAAATATGGTCTACATAATAAAACAGTTCCAAATAAAAATTGGTGAAAATTATCTGACATTCCATTAGTGTGTCCCTTGTGCATATTTATAGATTTTTTTTTTTACTTTTCAGTCATAGTTCTTTCGTTTTTGTGTTGCACATGCCTAATTCAATTATGTAACTTAAATCTTCAAAAAATGAATACTTGAATGTAAATGAAAAAGTATCATTCAGGACAACTGCTTCAAGCAATTGCAAACGGTTGGGTTTGTTTAAGTTCATTTGTACATATGTACAATTCATTTCTTTTCAAAACCCCCAAAGTTCTTGATATGTATATTCACATAATATTCCTCCATATTTAAATAATAAGAGTCTTGTAGGTTGAAAGCCAAGTAATCTTCCGTAATCTCACCTACTGTAATCCATCAAAAAATAAAGTTTGTTTCGTCTTGTCTGGCTATACCCTGGTTGTTGAATGTGAATGAGGATGGGGGTGGGGCAGAGTATTGTTCTGTCCTCCAGTAAATGTATTGAATGTGTGTAGGGGCTGAATCCCCGGTATAGTGTTGGGAATCATTGTAATGGTGTTCGGTGTCATTAAGGGAATATCGTCAGGAGACCTTCTCATAGCTAGGGTGTAGTCTGGGGGACAGGCGGTCCTAAGAACCACCTCATGTGGATGGATAGACTCACATTCATGATCCAAGTCAGTGTGCTTCATTTGGAGGGACATTATCTCCTCTTCTTGTGCATGGGTAAGATCATTGGTAGTAGTACGCTGTGGGCTACATCGCCTATGAACATCATGTCTCCTCTTGTCCTTTTTGTAGTACAATGCTGCAAAGGCCAAAATGTTCAGGAACAGCAAAGATGCTCCCACTGCAATCGTAACACTCAACTCTGTGGAATAGTCCCTTTGATCCACTGAAAATGGACTTGGCTGCTGTTTCGAATCATCTTGTTTGGCTGTGGGAAAGGCTGAAGTAACAGAAACAGAATTTTTCCTTGTTGGTCTGAAAGTAATATCAGTTGATGGCACTTTAGTTGTGGTAGAGGTATACTGTGAAATGTCGTTAAGATTGTGCAGATGAGGTACCAGTTCCAACCACAGGTTCACTTTATTGGCCCTGTAATGTTCTTTCACGCGTGGTTTTAATCCAATGTGAAGATACAGTTGGTCCTTTTGGGAATATCGGGTCCATGCTACTTCCTCAAAACGATTGGGTTTTGTATGGATAAATTTTGTGTCTTGTGGGACTGGCTGATTGGGGTCACTAAACAAAAGGAAAAGAAAAAAAAAAAGATGAGATGTTTGCATGTCAGAGGTTTTGTACCATAATTGTAAACCAGGCATGTAAGAAAATAGCATTTGAGGAACTGAAGACAATTCTAACAGCAGCCTTTAAAATCAACCATCACTGGGCAAGGTTCCCTTGCTTAGGTTTGTCAATGAGCTTCGTGTGCCTCAATCAGCAGCAACACTAACTTTCTATCTCTTGTCCCTTCAGAAAACATTGACAACAGTCCATGCTATTGATTCGGATTACTTTCTACTAGAAACCAGGGTGCAAGGACATAAAGCTTGTTTTATACGTAACTTAAATTCATGTCTTTTGAAGTAAGAGGCCAGCAAGTTAATCTGGCATAGCATATAACAGTTTACAGACTGATCCAATGAGTACCTGAGTGCTGAAAAGAGTCATCAGCTCCCAGTGAAGTCTGCAGGAGCTGATAGTTCTCAGCATCTCCCTAGTTCTGGACCTCAATAGTTTAAATTCCTAACTGCCTGTTATTTTAATAAGAGCACGCTATTAAAAGGCTTGATGTTTCATTTCTGGCATCTCCTATTTCATGCAATCCAAATGCCACCAATACTTCAGTATGATCAAATACTGGGGTATGTTAAATTGTTTTTTTATGTTCTGCAGTTCATAATTTCTATGTACCACCTCAGCATGTCCTTAGTCAGTATGATACATGTTGCAATTTCTTATACAATGGTCACACTTAAATACTAGACATATTAGTCATCGCAGCAGAGTTCCCCAATTTAAATGTAGAGAATCTCTCTCAAAGCATCAATATCTTTCAAAGCCCAAAAATATTTTTAAGGGCAGTCATTACACTATGAGAAAGAGAAACATCAGGTTATAATAGAAAAAAATGTCAGGGGAGCTGTTAGGTATAGAATGGTCACCTAGACCACTTAATACCAAGAACAGAGACATTAGAAAAAATGTAACTCCCAGCCCACTACCGCAACCCTTACTCATGTCTGTACCCCGTCACCCATGCAGTCCCCAGTGAACACAACAAGAAAGGTCTGTGGTATCAACTCCTCAACTTTTATAGAAAGTTACTTTTCCTCACTAATACTTACCCAGTTTTTGCAAAGTTTGTCCAGTATGTCATCACTACTGCACTTAGCATAACATCGTTTTTGGAGAAATTACAAGGAAACAATTCAGTAGGACCAATCATAGGGATTCCTAATACATAAGGGACCTCATCCCCATGGGCTGCATCTGCCCAGGCAGGTACCTGATCTGTTTGGCAATGATGGTAAAAGGCATAAAAGTATGTAGGGGATCCAAAATTGGAGTGAAGGTCTGCTGTTGCCACTGCTGGTGCAACCCATTGGTGATCAGTGAACAAAGCAAGCAATGTTTTCCTTCTTGTCTCAGGATTGTGTCGATCTGCCCAGTCAGTGTACATAAATTTGATAGTTTCTCTCAATATATCTTTGCCTTCAGGGTATCCATATAAATTGTCAACAAAATTAGAAACAGCAAAGTCAAAATCACTAGCTGATATGCCATCTTCACTATCAACTATATTTTCAACAAATTTTAACCCTTCCCCTTGGTTTACTCCCAACATTATATCATAGTTGAGGAATTCTCCTTGCTCCATTAGTATCTGAGGGTCATCTGGTATCACATCACCATCAATTACTGGTCCAAAGGCTATATGGTATCGCGCTGGTTGAATGTCCTGGTCAACAAGTTCTCTATAAGGCTTCTTCTGTAGACATTCCACCAATTCTACAGTGTCTGACATGTTGCAACCAACTTTAGTAGCCAACATCCTGGCATATTTTGCAGGTTGAAAACTCACTGCCCAGCTGGAGAGAGCTGTCCCGCTTTGAGCGATTGCTCTTTGAAAAAGTCCTGTGGGAAAACATGTACGAAAAAGTACTGAGGTAATGTTTAAACAGTTACACGTTCATAAATATCAGGGGAAGTCTGTGAGATAATAGGAAACTTCATTTTTACAATACAGAAATCGGGGGGGGGGGGGAGGTGTCTTCCTAATACATAAATGCAGCACGATGGTTAGACCTAACAATGGCCTAACCAATGGTTAAACCTGCCACATATAATATGCACCAAAATTAAATGCACCAATGTGCATAAACCATGGACCAACAGAGAGGCAAAACTGAAGCATAATGGAGCTGCAATGATTTACTCCAGCTGAAGATTTGTCCTGCAGGTAATAACTGAGGAACACAAAAGAGTGGCAGGAATTGCTTGATGTTGCATCTCATGTATGATAATATCATTTACTTTGAAAAGTATCATAACAATAAAAGTAATTCATTGGGTTAAAGGAAAAGCTCTGAACTTGATTAATTTCTTGGCCAATGCTCAAGCGAGTAATGGCTTGCAGGTGTGTGACCATGTTTTAAATTAAATACTGGATAGCACCTAATATATGGCTTTTTTACATTCTGTTTAGGATTGAACTTGGCTTGAGATGTACAGTGCTTCTGAATAATATACATAATAAAGCTTATATTCTGATGCCACATGTGACACGGTACTGGACAGCTTTTATATTCCTAACTGATTTATCTAAAAGTCAAGATCACTTCTTATTAAAAAAGACTCATATTTTTAATCAAGGTTTATGGTGATCACATTAAATAAAAGAGGAACATGATGTTTTACACTGAATATCTCAAAATGCTGCTTTGTGCCTTAGAGTTTTAAACATATGCTGAAGCATTCAGTTGTGAGAGGTACAGGGACCACATCTGCATCCCACTAATGCTTGTGAAAAACCTGAGGTAAACTCCAGCAACTCTGGTGCAATTAATTTGGATGTAAGAGAAGAACCTGGACCCAAACAGCTGTTTGCAGATATAACCAGCCTCACTTGAAGTGGCAATCTCCTCCCCTCTTTCAGTATTTTTATCCACATTGTGGGAGGAATCCCAACTCCCTCAAGGTCTATTACTGGCTTTAGTAGCACTAGGACTTCACTAGGTGTCTCTAAGCCATGACTCATACAGCAAGTGTGTGCAGAAAATCCTTTGGGTGATGTCTAGCTGGCTCATTGAGAAATCTTGCAGGTCTGACATTGGAATGGCTGTTTTTATATGTCTTTTTCTCCTTTCTGGCTTGGGCCGTGACGTCTCTTCACTCCTTCCTATCCCCTCTGGAGAAGTTAGCTTTGCTTTCAATAGGGATTTTGCATCTGACTCTTGTGCAAGGAGGATATGAAGGACCTCCTCAGTTGGGCTTTTGCCTCTCAACCAAGGCTAATAACAAAAATAGAACGTATCTATATGTTATAGTTTCTCCATCTTGTTAATAAACATTTTAAAACACTTTCTGCATCCTCACAAAATTGTTGCAGCTGAAGGACAAAGAGCTGCTTGCAATTCCACAGTCTTTTTGTGCACTCTACTGGAAAAATATTTTTTAATTTGACCTATATGTCACAGAGTACTATAGCTAATGAAAAAATCCAGGTAGCACATATAATTTGTGGTAACAAAGTACACGGGCCTAAAATTTGCTTTTATATACACTGCTTCAAACCTGAGATAATTCTGTCAACTTCAATCCAATACTCTAGTTTTGCAACAGAGTAACTGAAGGCAACATCTGGCTCCCTGCTACTGAATTATGCAAACCCTGTATCCTTGTATTGAACCATGGTGAGCACCTGGAAACTCCCATTCAAGTGAGTGAGAATGGCAGGTGCTCAGCCTTTGTTCTTTAACAATGAAAGTTATGGTCCTGATCCTACAATGTGATTTTCCTAGATGGATCCAAAACCGCGAAGAGAGTCCCAATAAAACCAGGAACCTGCCCACATGTATCAAATTGGAAGATCAGAACTGTACTCCAAAGTTAGCTTGCATTCATTGCAGACATTTTGTAAATTAGGCTCTTTGGGGAGTTTCAAAATCCTTACAGAAACTAACAGAGCCAAATGCTAACCCTTTATCTTTACTCGATACCTTTCTGCAGGCAAAACTGAAATCAGGCAGCGATGAGAACTTGAAAATGGGACTCTTGTCTATTTTTGGATAGACGAGTAACCACAATATTCTTACCCTAAGAGTGTTGCCTTATAAAGAGTTAAGTAAAAGTTAAGAAAGAACCTTTGAAACAGAGCAATTGAATTTTTTTTTTCTTTTTAATCTGTAGGACCAGTTTTCCAGTGAATGTGAATCATCTGGAAGGCAATGGAACAGCGGTGATTGGTACCAGCTGAGGATCTGGCCTTTGGAGTATGTATAGCAAGATAATACATGCAGAAATGTTCACAACAATGTATTTGATAATGCTGCACATTTTTTTCTTTCTGCATTTTCTGTAAATATCTTATGCTTTTATTGTTTAGAAATATTGTATAAACCCATGAGGGAACAAAAAAGAGTAAGTTACATGTCAAAAAAGTGCTGATATAAACACTATGGCTTGTTAAATACTACACGAAAGGCTAGATTAAGTTAAAAGTCCAGTCCTCTGGCCATAAAGCTTAATTCAGTTACTCAAAAACAATACTTCTGTTGAACCTTTCAGTGAAAAATGGATGACACTGTGAAAAGTAATTTTCATACTGTAACTGATTTCCACCAGCAACCATGTATAATACAAGAGATATAATATAATACAATACCTATACCTTCACTGTGGCACAGGGGAGCTGGCTGACGTACAAGGGATTTTATCACGTAATATGCCATAGCCTGCAGTTTCTTGTATTGAGTCTCATGGAGGGAATAACTTATATTTATTCACCCTCAGATTTGAAAGTACTTTACATTGAGTAGGAAGTACTGCTTCTGTTTTGCAGACAAGTGAAGTAGATTATTTAACAGTATCATCTTGCAAGGGGCCAAGTGCCTCTTGGCAACTGCCTAATGCGCCGTTCAGTGGGAGCAGAGGGTAACCAGAGAAGCACTCAGAATGAGACTCAGGTGAAATTATTTTGGTAAATAATTTCACTTGAGAGTCCCCAACTTGGAGAATGCTACAACCTTTCAAGGTATCTTAAATGACACATTTTGACTTTTTGTTCTTAAAAGAGCATTTTTCTTCTTTTAAAATTGACTTGCATTTATATTAAAAAAAATAAAGTACCTTGTATTTAGAGTCAACCCCAAGACAAATTTTTCCCACTTTACCAAACCCCCCAAATATACTCTTTTTAGTTTGATCCACTTATTGATTTTTTGGTACAGCCACCAACCCAAAAGATCCCTTATTTGCATGGTACTCAGCACCTAGTTAGATCAGTTCCTCCATAGACTTCTGCTCTTGACAATTTTCTTTGTGTGTTACAACATGACAGAGAAGAGTTTGCTCACAGAGTGCAGATCTCAACGGTCCAGTTATTGCAGATGAAGGCATAGGGTATTCAGCATTAAATGAGCTGCTTTGGATTAAATTTAAGACCAGAGAAACAAGTGATGGAGGATGGAAACTAGGTTGCCTGACTCTCAGCTCCATGCTTAATACATTATGCCACAAAGAACCTTCATTGTGAGTTCTGCTGAAAAACTGACTGCATAATATAACCTATTGTCTCAGACTCAAAAGCTACATCAGTCAGCTCCTGGCTCAAAAGGCCGTTTCCCCAAAATGTTGTATTTGCTCAGCAAGTTGAAATAGAAAAATATCTAAATTATTGTACAAGTCAAATGTATACCTGAGTTCTACACTTAGACCCTAGCCAGACATTGAAGTAAAGGCACGATAGGGTTGGATGCACAATCCCCACAACTGCGCCTCCGGACATGCCACATGTGCATGGCAAGAGGTGTGATTATGGGATCCAGCATCAGGTCCAATCATGCCTTATTGCCGGTGCAGAGGGAGCCCAGGATCACAATTCCAGGCTCCCCCTGCCCCAGCAGCTCTCATGCATGGAGGTCTGTAGCTGACAGGGCCAGGGAGCACCTGGCTACATGTTCATTTACTGATATCATAGGAAAAAGCTACAGAGTTATTACACATTTTTGCAGAATAAGTTTGTGTCTTATTCCTCTTTTATCATGCCATTAATTGATGGAATATGTGTCTGGGTCACAACTTAAGATGTGATTAACTGGTTAATCACATCTTAAGCATAATGTGTAGATGGGGCCTAATTACGCTTCAAGATCTTCCAGACATTAAGGTAATCTTTGCCTGAATATTGGTAAAAATGTCATTTTAAAAAATTAAAATCTGGAAAAATATGAAAAAAATTAAACCTGCAGTTCTGGTAATGTTTCCCCAATAGTACTGTTCACGTAAAAGAGGATCAGCCTGATTCTTCTCTCAGCTGTACCAGTACAGGGTCTGAGCCAAAGCCTAGGGATCTTTTTGTTCCTCTCAGCAGGCTTTGGATCATGCCTAGATTAGAAGTCACTCTGCTGACATCACCAGAGTTAGATTGGTCTGCCTGTACGCTCAGAGCCCAACAAGACTATCACAGGGTAAATCAGAGAAGCCTATATGGCATTCTGAGACCTGCCAAATACTTCTAAAATAATGCAGCATAAATCTGTGAAAGCAATGAGAAAACTGGGTAAAAAATAATTATGTGATCAATAATCAGTGGCCATGCAAATGAGAAAAAGTGTGTGGAACTCTGGTGCCAAAATTGTAGGACAAGGAAAATAGGTTTTTGGCCTCAAACAGCATGTATTTTATTTCCTGCTGTCTGCCTTAACTAGGGAGAAACAGTGTTAGTTATGGAATAGGAAAAACATATATATATATATATATATAATCCTTTGCAACCTGGATGCTTTGACAATTTTGGATCATGCATGCAAAACATTCAAAACATTCTTTTCTCAGATGACAGCAAGTGAAATTCATGCAGTTTCAGACAAAAGATTTCTGAACTAGGCACTTGTTTCCGTCACACAAGATAATAGTTTTAAGCATTTCAGCCATTATCCCTGAAAAGAGAAACTGTGTCATTTTATTTTTCTTTAAATCCTGTTCCTCATGAGAAACTAAACATTTCTCTGATGACTGATTGAATATAGGGGGCCTCATCTACTGTGAGCATCACTGACTGGCTTTCCAAAGAGTACACCCTTAGGTAGGAAAGAAAAGAGACAAAAATGATGCACTTAGTGTGTGCTGTTCAGAAGTCTACTGTAAAAGTGTTTCTAACAAAGGTCCATAAGAAAAAGAAGAAAGTGACCCCAAATTTAAACATGCACGGAAGAGCCAAGGGAGAAGGCAGCTAGTACAGCCTTTCAAAAGTCTGCTTATTATTGAACTCAACGGTCCGTAGGAACAGAGAGAGATATACAGAGCATCACATACTACTAATGGTGGTGGCATGCAGACACCAAAATTGTCAAAATTTGCAACCGGCATAATACCTTTGGTTGAATTGCTCCAACGGTTACCTTCAGAATAATGGGATAAAGTCAACAGATTGACACATGAACCGCCTGCACCTGATCCAAAAACTGTTATTCTTAGTGGGTCACCACCAAAGAACCCAATATTTTCACTAGTCCATCGCAAAGCTTGAATAAGATCGAGGAGGCCATAGTTTCCTTTTGCTGCTTGATCCCCAGTGCTCAAGAAACCTGACAATGTAAATGAGAAATAGAAAAGGTTTAGCAGGTGTTCTTCAAACCATGTTTACTACACTGCAATAAATAACTTTTCAGCAATGTTTTTAATGTAAATGGTGCTAAGTGCTACATATCTGCATTGTAAAATGTTGCCAGGTGGATACAGGAAACAAATGACTCAGCCCTCCCGCACTATATCCTTTGGTATTCATTGTCCTATTAGCAAAGATAAATTAATGTGGGTAATGCACAATGTATAATGCATCATAGACATTCATTTCAGTGTCTAATAGGTCATAACTGAGCAGATACCAATGATTTTCAATTGTAATAAATTGGGTAACAGAGTGCTTGGGGACAGGAGCCATATTTTGGGTGTAAACAGAGATTTCCATGTTGTGGGCACCACCAAAATACAAAGATAAAAATAAAGAACAGAAAAATAATAATGTAGAATATGGATGCAGACTACAAGAAATACAGGGGCATGATCAGTGCCCGCCTGCTTGACAGCACCTTTTGTCAACATAGTGTTCGCCAGAGCATCCAGCTGCTATAGGCATGTATGGACATGGGTTCTGGGTATGCTGGATGGGTTAGTGCTGTATTCAATTCATTGCTTGGGGCACAGGTACCCTGTACCACACCATATGACCTCTTCTCCTCCTCCTTTTTTTTGTCCTTCTGTCCTTACTCCTACCAAATTTATGTTGGGGGATAGACGGGATTGGACAGCTTGACTGGCTCCCCCCCAAGCTCCAAACCATTTCCCTTCAATTGGGTTAACTGAATCTGCTTTTAAGGACACACAACAAGCAAGACTCAGATGTAAACCACAGAGTGCAAGGATTGTTTCCTTGTAGTTGGCGTGGAGAGGAATGGAGGTGTGTACTACGTGCAGGGATGTCGGTGTTTCCCCAGTCACAGCTTTGCATGTACTGCAGTTCTTTTCATCCTTCAAACCAGCTGACTTGAAAAGATGGGCAATCAACACAGAGAAAAGCCTGAGCTGGTAAAAGATATCATTTTGCTTTTTGATTCTATTGGATACTACTTCCAACCTGCAAAGCCTTATGAGCAAATGTTTAAATAATACCGGCATTTTTCAAGACACTGAAAGCCTCTACTTGCATATGGAACTGATTTAACACCCACAAAATGGACAATATAACAGCCTTTCAATGCATGCCCTGTAGAGAAGTACAACCATTAAAACAATTAACTCCCCATGAACTAAATGTTAGTGGGTCCTCTGTTCTAGTTAAAATTGCACTGATTTAACTCTCCTCTGGCACCAGGATTGAGACTCAAAACAAAAGTTTACAGTACTTTCCCAGAAGAAGCAGAAAGTAGTTCTCTGACAAAACTCCTACCATTTCATCAACAGTGATAACAGCAGCTCTTAGGGTTTAAATTCAGAAGAACAACTATCTATGTACTGTTGACAGGACTGAAAGAACACCCCAAAAAAATCTTCATTTGCAGTTGCTGGTTACTACAGCCCAAAGGTATTTAGGAACCTAGCTCCGTTGATTTTAATGGCTCAAACACTTTAAGTTACTGAACCCGGAAGATGTTAGACCACTATCTGACAGGTATAACCTCATGGGCTGCATCCAGATGAGCGTGGCCATGCGGTATGTGGTGCCACAGACTTGTCCGTGGCACCACATACCGCACATTCAGTTGTTCTTTGTTCTGCAAGGTAGCAGCAAGGGTGGGGGTCCCAGGGTCAAAAAAAACTGTGCAAAAAAAAAAAAAAAAGCAGATCGGCACACGTGGTGCTAGTACACGCTGCCCAAAACTGGTGCACACTGGTGCCGCCAGTGCACACTGCCCAAAACTGCTCCAGCTGCCAGCGAGACTCTGAGTGGCAGGATCACCACTGCTGCAGCTCTAGGAGACCCCCAGGACCCTAGGTAAGGATGCTGGGGCCAGCCCAGTGCTGGCCCCAGCCTCCCCTACTCCACCTGGGATAACCAACCACATGCCAGAGGGTGCATGGCACAGGCGCTTCCGCAGGGACAAGTATCAGTGGCACAAGATGTCCCACTGCTCCCTTCTTGTTCTGTGGGAAACAAGTGTCCATGCTTGTGTGGACGCGGCCATGAAGTGCATAACTACTGGTTTTTTCCTATATAACTAAAATCCTATCACAATAAACAATAGTATATATAATCCACATGCCATTTATTACTTTATTCTGCTAATGCAACTCCTGATGAATATAATTTATTTAGTATCCAGTCAAATGCTTAGACATTCATTCTAGGAGACCTTTCTAAGTGTACTAAAAACTAGCTTAACTTACTGCATACATAATGTGAGCTATGCTACATTTACTGCAACTGGTTTTGTTGGTATAGCTGCATCTTGATCTTCATTACCATGAAGAGGGAACAGGCAGGTGCCATGAGGAGCTTGGCCAGCCATTTTCCAACTTTATGACTTAAAGCACTTCATCTAATTGGCACACATTGTTCAGTGTAGTTATAGCAGATACTTAGTCCTATACTATACTTTAAGCCATCCCATATTCTGCATTTTGAAAACAAACATTTAGACTGTTAAGCTGCAAAACTGAACAGAGCATCAAAGGCATCAAACAGGGGGATACCACAAAGCACATGGGGAGGCTTTGGGAGGGAATAATCAATATTATTAATTTATTATTATTTTGCTAATTGCAATTTATTATAATTGAATATTCCTGAACTGAGCTAGGAGGAATACGAGGCTCTCTTACCCTCTGTCAATGTTCTTTTCTTCCTTGTATTTGGGCACAAGTCTTGTTCTTTCCTGCACACATACAAGGACTAGTGCTAAGTCCTACCTCTACAGCAAGCAGGTTATTAAGACTGCATGAAAGGCAGACATATTTGCCCCCTGAAAATAATTTTCTTTAGGAATACTGAAGCAGGATGTGAATAAAAGGAGTAGAAAGGGACAGGGAATGAAAGTTTGCTACCTTGTTTTACTTTTTAATCTGCTTGGAGCTAAAAAAATTGGAAGTTCTTTGGGCACCTGTGAATTTAAGGAAATGTTACCACCATATTTAAGGGAGCTGTAGAGTTTTGTGGCTATAAATCCAAGGAAGTCATTCCTATCTTTTATTCGGATTAGATTACAGCCAGTTAGTAAGCTGTCAGTTCAGCACAGCAGGCATGAAGAGCATGAGAGTGATTGGCACAGGTTTAGAATAGCAGGCTCAAGTTGAAACCCAGAAGCCCTTGGGACAAAAAGAACAGTAATGATCGTTGTCTTCACAGTGCCTAATTAATGAGCTTTTCCCTTTCTTTGTCTGAACATGCTTAAAGGCTTTGTGGCCTCATGCAGATTCTGATAATGAACAGACTTGCAGCGCTAGTTCAGAAGTGTCCTGCAGCTGTGCTGCAGTGACCCTGGGCCATTAGTTGGGAAAATGGAGGCTTATCTTGCATAGGGGGTGGGGTGCAGGCTGGATCCTGAAGGCCCAAAACACAAGATTGCTGCTTCCAATGTGATGCCTTATGTCCAACATGCTGCAGAATGAAAAGCAGTCATGTTTTTTTGCAAGACCAGTCAATGATCTACCAACAACCACGGTGATGGCCAGGCATTATGAAAGAAAGCTGACACTAAGGGAGTTCATGCCAAGACCATTCCAAAAAATAGAAAAATCCCTGGAAAAAATAAAGCAAACTGGATAACCTGACGTTAAGGAATCCCTTTTAAAAAGGTTCTCACAGAAAACTACTCTTGTTGTTAAAGACAGATGCTGAGGAAGATATGCTCAGTTCATCAAAATTAGGGGTAGCTTTCAGTTTAAAAGGAAAGAAAGAATATATATTAATGATAATAATATTTGCTTCCATTTATCTAGATTAAATAAATTATGACTTGGGTCCAGACTAGTGGATCCAATGCAGAAGAAATGTCTTACACCTCTTCAGCAAGAACCACACTGGCTGACTTTCATACATACACAAGATGGACGGATATTGATCTAGACTTCCAAGACATGAAACATTTCTGTCCCATTTTTCAGAAACATAAGAAGCCTGCTAATATCACCACCTGTTCATGCACTTTCGCTTGTATGCACTATTAGCAGCATGGCTCAGAAGCATGCAAACTGTGAGGAAGTGGGTGAAGTGACTGATAAGACTGATGAGATGTTCTTTATTTTTTAGTGAAGAACTGTTCAAGGTGGTTAAGCCCATCTCTTTCTAAGGCACTCTGCACAGATCTGCTCTTTAGAGATCCAAGATAAAAACAGACCAAATTGAGACCTGTGAGTGGGGAAAAACTTTGCTTCTCGTTAACGTTTGTGCCAAATCAGAGCTTGTTTCAATATGTTTTTATTTGCTTGTATTGCACAAAACAAGAAGGCAGATTTATTAAGTATAGTGTCTTTATAGGCACATACCTGATTACTCTCTTCCCAATATCTGTAGGGAGCTAGAGTGATCAGGTGACATGTTTCAACCTTGCTGTGATGGGTTCTGGATGGAGAGGGTCTATTTAAACCTGGAGTTATACCAGCAATGACTGTGGCTTGCTTTGCTTAAGACGAGGGTTGATTAAACACACTAGTCCTCTTTATGTTACAAGCACCTGGGTAAATGCATACAACCAGCCACCAGCAGATCCATCATATTCAAGCCCTAGGTAGTTTTGTAATATGCTAATTCATACAGGCTTATACTAAAAAAAAAAAATGCGCTTTTTTGGAAGGATATTAATTCTATGAAGAGGGGTGTGAAGGAGGACGAGAAAGGGAATGGGAAAGGTTGCAAGGAAGTCTACCACAGTCCCTGCTGTTGCTTACCTTAGGGCAGTTGGTGAATGCAGGTGGAGAGCTGGCTGTGGCACATCAGGCTCTGGTGTGCCATTTCTGGAGTGGCATGGCCCTGTGGATTGGTGCAGAGAAGGGGTGGAGCCCAGTGGCAGAGATGCACACTGGAGGACTCCATTAGAGGGGTGGAGTCTGCCAGCAGAGAAGCGCCAAAGAGAAATGTGCCACAGGGAGG